CTGGGTTCGGGCTGCTTTGGTGTTGTACATCGAGGGCTATGGACACTACCCAGTGGCCAAAGTGTGAGTGTCTAAGGGGCTTCTTTCCTTCCTTTGTTCCTTCCTCCCTTCACTTTATATTGATTGCACTCCCCTCTCCTGTTCCCAGTTCCACCCGCAAGGGGCTTAATCTAAGGTACCTTGAGCTCTCTTTACCCTTCATGCCCTCTGCTCTGGCTGTGGTCAGTTACTCTGGGTCCTTCCCCCCCGCCCAACACATCCAGATCCCAGTGGCTGTCAAGTCCCTCCGTGTGGGTCCTGAGGGTCCGATGGGCACAGAACTAGGAGACTTCCTACGGGAAGTATCTGTCATGATGAAGTTAGAGCACCCCCACGTGCTGCGCCTGCATGGCCTCGTGCTGGGCCAGCCTCTACAGATGGTGAGTCTATAAGGACACTGCTTTCCTCATAGCCCCAGGGTTGGTGTGCAGCAAGAAATACCGGTGGGGCCAGACTTTGGTTTACAGGGCTCTATGTTCCTGCAGGTAATGGAGCTTGCGCCACTGGGCTCCCTGCATGCGCGCTTGACTGCCCCAGCACCGACGCCCCCACTGCCTGTGGCCCTACTGTGCCTTTTTCTGCGTCAGTTGGCAGGAGCCATGGCGTACTTGGGGTCCTGTGGGTTAGTGCATCGGGATCTCGCCACCCGCAACCTGCTGCTGGCCTCACCTCGAATGATTAAAGTGGCGGATTTTGGACTAGTGCGGCCACTGGGCGGCGCCAGGGGTCGCTACGTCATGGGTGGGCCCCGTCCCATCCCCTATGCTTGGTGAGGGGGGTAATCTGATGGTCCGGTTTGAGGCAGGGCTGGAAAGTCAGGGTTGAGCAGAGCTAGAGAGCAGAAGCCAGCTTGGAATTAGAGGGGGCGGGACGGTTGGGGTGTTGGTGGGAGGGAATGGTTGTCACTCTTCTACAAGAGGCAGGACAGAGGTGTCATCAGGTCAAGAGGCACAGAAAGGATTTTTGAGGCTAATGGAGGGGGTGGGAGATCGAGAGAGTGGGTGCGCAGTGGAAGGAAGGTGAGCTGGGCATAGACCTAGCCACTTTTAACTTCCATTTTCCTCAGGTGTGCCCCAGAGAGCCTACGCCAGGGAGCCTTCTCGTCTGCCTCTGACGTGTGGATGTTTGGCGTGACACTCTGGGAAATGTTTTCTGGAGGTGAGGAACCCTGGGCAGGTGTTCCACCGTATCTCATCCTACAACGGCTGGAGAAGGACCGAGCCAGGCTGCCAAAGCCTCCCCTGTGTTCCAGGGCCCTCTACTCCCTCGCCTTGCGTTGCTGGGCCCCTCGCCCTGCAGACCGGCCTAGCTTTTCTAACCTGGAAGGACTGCTTCAAGAGGTGAGAATCGCCGTCTCTCTAGATACACAAAGCCCCTCTTCCCTTTATTCTGGCACCCAGAGTTCCATGCATAAGACAAACATGCCTTGATGCCTGGGCTGGAATCTGGATCAGGTTCAATCATTTCCTGCAGGAAATGCAGAGCCCCGGGGCGCGGCAGCTAGGGGCTGCAAAGTTGTAGCTGGAAGACGTGGGGTTTGCTTCTGGTGCACAAAAGAGGCACAGAAAAGAGAGTAGTGGATTTTCACTGGTGCCTGACAAAACACAAATTAAATAAACAAATGAATGAAAAGAGGTTCTGCGTGGTAGGGTAAGGGGAAGCAATAGGGCTGCAGATGCTAACAGAACATTGTAGAGGAGAATTTAGAACACTTGGCCAGTGTGATAGACCATAAAGAGCCTTACCGGTATCCTTGGTCACTCATTCTGTCCTTGTTTAACAAGGAGGTAATTACTCTTAATCTCTATTTAACAGATGGGGCACTTCAGCCGATGATAGGTCAGTGACTTATCTAAAGTCACCCAGTAAGTGGAGGCGTTAAGAGTAGCGCCATCCACGTGACTTCAGAGCCCGGGGGCCCTAAATCAGTCTATCTACTGTTAAAGCCCTTTGGTCTTCACTCGAAGGGCAGCGGCTGGGAGGCAGGAGGGAGGGAAAGAGCTCCCGATCAGAGCTGAGGCAGTGGGCCTGGGGAGGAGTGGAAATGCCCCCGAGGTGTGTGGGAGGCAGACCCATTCAGCTTGGTGTGGAATGAAGTGAGCAGGATGCTTCTCACTTGGCCCCTTAAACAGAGACAAGGTTCTCCCTGTGGTTTCTTGCATCCCATGTCCAGCATGGCATGGAGTTCAGGTCAGCAACCCCACCCCACTTTGGACTGCAACAGGGAGGGAGGGCTAGGCACGTGGAGGACATACATGGTGTGTATTTATTTGCTACAGAGGAAGGTCCTTTCTTATTGCCCTTATGACTCAGGCCAGAAGCTCAGCCAGCCTTTCTTCTGTCTCCACAGGCTTGGCTTTCTGAGGGGCGCTGTGTGAGGGAGGTCACAGAGCCAGGTGCTTTGCGGATGGAGCCCGGTGACCCCATCACTATCATTGATGGCAGGTGACAACCTTATGTCCCTTAAGCATCTCCAGGGGAGGTGTATTCCCAGCCTTCTTGACTCCCGGTTGGTCCCTTTGTTTTTCTCCAGCTCCTTGAATGTTGGTCTTGTGGGTCTTTTCGTTTTCCCACTGCGCCCTGCACTCCAGCGCAGTCCCCACCCTCCCTGCTGGAGCCCAGCCTGGCCCACAGTGCCCTTTTTGTGTTGGAGAGAAAAAGGCTTCCCTTCCTCCAGGCAGATGTGGCCACAAGACACACAGCTTGATGAGCTGAATGTGGCCCGAGACCAGCTGCCATTCTCCCTGACCCCATTTCCTTCACCAGCTCCTCTTCCCACAGCCCGGACACCACAACCTGGAAGGGCCAGAATGGTCGCACCCTCAAAGTGGGCAACTTTCCGGCTTCTGCAGTGACACTAGGAGACTTGGGGGGTTCACCAGTCACTCATCCAGCCCACAGAGGTTCTCCTGCCCGTGGAGAGAAATGCAGAGGGGGCACGGATGGGTGAGGCCACGAAAGGGTTGGGGACAAGAGCTGGGTTGGAGGGAAAGGCCAAATAGCGAAACTTCTCTGGAAGGAAACTTGGGCACAGGATGGAAGAGTGAGAATGGACTGGCCCCCAGCTGGAGCTGTCCCTGTGGGTCATGTGTGGGACCCAGGTTTTCTGGAAGGAGGCCATGCTGTGGGTGAATAGTGGAGAATGAACTACATCACTCTCTGACAGGGACAGAGAGAAGGCAACGTTACAAGATCTACCCCCAGCACGGGGCCAGAGAAGGAAGGTGCCCCTGCAGAGGATGAGAGGTGGGTGTGGTGGTACCCAGGGTCTCAGGAACAACTTTCCAATTCCCCTTCCCAACTCTGAATCCATACCTTTGCATATATAATTTCCTTTCTCCAAATACCATCTCTGGACAGATTATTTGTTTTGGCTTTTTGAGACATGGTTTCTCTGTGTAGCTCTGGCTGTCCTAAACTCATTCTTATAGTCTAGGGTGGACTTGAACTCAGAGATCAGCCTGCCTCTGCCTCCCAGGTGATAGGATTAAAGGCATGTGCTATCGCCTCTTGGCACACTTTAAGATCTTAGGATTAGAGGTATTCCTGACTTTCCCACTGGACAGTACCTCCTGGCTCTGGCTCTCAAATACTGTTCTTTGAGCCCCTAGGTGTCTTGATTCCATTTACATAGCTTCCTTCTGACCCACCTAACACTCAAGGACAAGGCCACCCACCTTACCTAAATATCCTTGCAAAATCACACAGCTCAGTGCAGATAGACAAGAGAACAGGAAGATGGGCCTCCTCTTATGCCATTTCTTTCTCAACTCTGAAGGCATTTCCAAGAGTCTGGAGTCAGTTCTGTCCCTGGGCCCTAGACCCACAGGAGGTGGTTCAAGTCCTCCCGAACTTCGACATGCAAGAGCTATGCCCCACGGACTCCCAGACCTGCCTCCACGCCCACCAGACCTGCCTCCACGCCCACCTATCATCTGCAGCTCTTCTCAGCCTATCCAGCCCCACAAAGCCTGGCCGAAAAGAGAACCCTCACATAATCACCGCACTGGAGCACCTGGAGCCAGCAAAGCCGTTGTCCCCACTGGAGGCCCCTTGTCATACCCTGAGTGGCAGAGGAAAATTGTAGAGGTGAAGGCTCACCGAGATGACATGATGTTCAAAGGGCCTGTAGGTTGGGACAAGGGCTAAACAAAGACTTGTCCCCCCATAGGTAGAGCTGAGTGTGCATGGTGTCACCTACCAGGAGTGCCAAGTGGCACTTAGAACCACTGGAGGAGATGTGGCTTCTGCTATCCGGAACCTCAAGGTAAAGCTAGCCCCTTCTGCAGGTTCCCCAGTTTCCTGCTTGGCCCACTAGTGGTCAGCTGCCCTGCCTCCTGCTCACACAGGTAGACCAGCTCTTCCACCTCAGTAACCGGTCCAGAGCAGACTGTCGTCGCATCCTGGAGCATCACCAGTGGGACCTGTCAGCAGCCAGTCGCTACGTCCTAGCTCGGTCCTGAACTCTGCATCCTTGGGGATGGATACCAGCATGGAATACCTGGTCCACTTAGGGCTTGGTCTTAAGGGACTAAGGACTAAGGACCTCAGAATATGAGGTCTTGACAGAGGCACACTAAGAGAGATTTACCTGCTGAGGAGGTATAGGGAGTGTGTAGGACTGGGGTCAGGCACCGGTTAGTGCTTCCTCCGTGCCCTGTTCCTTGGCCTCTGAGGGACCAAGATGGATTGAGTCCACTCTGCCTACTACATTCCCAATTGAATAGGACTTGAAAGAAAACGCTTCAGAGAAAGCCTCTACTCACTGCAGACAAGGATCAAGTAGCAATACCGGATCACGGAACAGCTGTCAGAACTGTCATTAGCTACCTCTCTAGACTCCAAGGGGCAACCATCTTAGATATTGACTTGGGGGCTGTGGCCCAAACTGCTTTGGTTTGGTCTAGAATCACCATGGGTGATGAAAACTAACTTTTTGGACTCAAGGACTTGTTTTTTTCCTTTAATCCAAATAGTATAGATTCTAGGCTGGCCGATTCTAGCCCAGCAGGCACCATTCCCTTTGTGTTATCCCGTACCTACCCTCTCCCATCACATCCGTCTTCTACTGTTTAAAAAGTTGCAAAGTTTATATGAGTACAACATACAAAGACACAGCCTCCTTCCTACAGTAGGGGAAGGAAGGGGTTAATGATTAAATAAGGCACAGGAAGCTGCAGAAAGCACCAGCAGGGCCCAGGGGGTTAGGGAGCTGGCACTGGGTCCCAACTGCTACAGCTATTAGTGAGGAGGCAGGGATTCCCTTCAGAGTGCCACAGTCTGAAGCTAAACTAATTGGCTAAAGTGCCATAAGGGAAGGGTGGTGTCTGCTGTCTTTGGTGCTGCTTGCTTTTTACCCACAAGCCCTAGGATAAAACTTGAGTCCTGGATTCCAGAAGCTCCCCATCCTGTACAGAGGCCCTGGAGGAAGGCTGGAAGGAGTGGGTAAAGGAAGTTTAAAAGCTAATGTGTGCACAGGGACTGCTGGGAGATAGTAAACACAAGGAGGAACAGGTCTCAAACATGCTTCTCTGCAGGGCCACGAGTGAAGGAGGGAACGGATGGGACACAATGGCTCCCAAGCACTCTGCCACCCCACCCTCGTCAGTCCGCTGCAGTGTATACCAAGGAAAGGGTTGCTTCAGGAGGGAAAGTCCAGGGCAGGCGACCATCTTAAATTCTGGCTGAGGGGATGGTCTCCTCATCCTGAGGTGGCTTCTAACTGGTGATAGCAGAGGGTCCAGCGCCTCCTCGCTTCTCGAAGAACATATAATCCTAAGGAAGGGCCACTGTCAATGGGAGATCTAGCTGGGTGTCCACCAGCTACTCCAACTTCGCTCTGGACCTGCAACCCACCATACATGTCCCTAACTTTCTAGTAAGGGTCTAGGAACTGAACAGAACATCTAATAACAGGAAGGGAAGGGCGGGGCAGCCACTCACGATAAGGAACGTGGCTCCCAGCAGCACCGCCTTCACTCTCACATCGAGGTCTATTGGGAACTGGAGGCCAAAGTCATCGGCGTCTGTGAGGGCTTCTCGGAGCAGCCCGCCCCACTGCTTGCTGATGCGGCCCACACTTCGAGATTCATCCTTCGTCTTCACCTGGTGGGAGGGATGGAGGACTCAATGGCGGGGGGAGATGCTGCCAATCTCATGCGCCTTCTGTCCCACTCTACAGGTGCATGTGTGTAGACTATGCTCAGGGACTCTTGGCAATAGCGTTAGGTTTCCATGTGATACTAGGGGAAACTGAGATACCCTAGGTTACATAAGTACACGGTGAAGATCGGGATTTAGATTCAGATCTGTTGTCTTCCAAAGAGTACGCATAAACATAACTGCACATCGGTGATAAGTGTGTATTCGCTAAGCTTGCTTTGCTCGTCAGTGTTCCCGACACCCGTGTCCTATGCAAAGCATATGCCTGATGCAAAGGCACCTAGCTGAGGAGGCAAAGGGAGGTGCCACAAATCCTCCCAAAAGTGTGATTCTTAATTTGCAAAGGACTGGAGAGAATCCTTTCCAGCACTGCTGATGAGCCTCATCTAGAGGCTATCTAATCCTAGCTGACAGGCCAACAGGTAGCCTCGGACGACTGTGGTTCTCACTGGCCTCTGGGAGCTCAGCAATAACAAACCATGTGAAACTAAGTGGCATCGCAGTGACTTCCTGGTCCAGTGACTAGAACTGAAGTAATTTACGTCTACATCCTGTTCCATCCTCTTCCTGCCTCGTCCTGCAGCTGCAGGGGACTTCCTGCAGCCTAGTCCCAGGCTCAGCAAAGTCTACTGCTGCCAACTCTGCAGTCCCAAGACTGTGGCTCAAGTATGGACCATTCAAGATTGTGAAAAAGGGACACTGACTCCCTGAGAACCCCATAACACACACATTCCCATCAGAGATCACACAATTATCTCCTCTCCAACCGGTTCTCAGCACACAAGCTGCCTCTGACTACCAAGGTGACTCACTTTTTAAAAGGCAACCTCAGGTGAAGCACCTCTACTGGATGAAACCTGTTGTTTCTTCCTTATCAAAACGGGGAATCATCCCTTGAAGAACTCAAGAGTCCAAGCAGTGCCGCTGACTTGTAAGAGCCAGAGAGTCTCCCAAGCTTCACTCTGGAATTCTTGCAACCTGGGCTCCTCTGACTCTGGGTCAGTGAGAGGAAGCCTCCAGGAGAAAGACATCATCTGGACTTCGGGTTGGATGGGTCATTTGGACTTCTAGGTTTGCAGGACAACCCAAGGGTTAAATTATGAAAGGGTCTATGCTTATAGACTGACACAGGGGATACCTGGGTCCAGCCCATGGCACACTTATGCAGTGAAAGACTGGGAGATAACAGTCTTCCACTTTAGATCCAAGCTGGCCTCAGATGCTCCCCTAGGCCCCTACAGGGCTGTAGGGAACACTCAGCCTTGGACTGAAGAAGACATTTTTTGGTTTCAGACAGAATCTTTCTATGTAGTCCTGACTCTCCTGGACCTCACTATACAGATCAGACTGGCCTGGAACTCAGGGATCTGTCTGCCTGCCTCTGCCTCCTGAGTACTGTGATCAAAGGTGTGTGCTGTCATGAGATCTTTTTTGGTGTGCTTTTACGGGATCACATTTTTGAGTGGAAGAAAACTCAAAACTCAGTAGGGGTTGCAACAGATTGGGAATGATTGGCCTTAAGCCATCCATTAGCATGGAAACTACTGTCTTGGTTTTTTGTTTTTCTAATTACATTGATGGATTGACTGGTTGATTGGTTGGTTGATTGATTGATTGTGCACCAGGGCATGTGTGTGGAGAGGACAGTTTGCAGGAATTGTCTTCTTCTACCATGTGGGACTCAATGGCTAGAGCCCAGGTTGTCAAAACTTGGTGGCAAGTACCTTACCCTCTGAGTCATCTCATCGGCCCCCATCTTGGTTTGTTAAGAGCCTAGAAATCACCCCTCTCCCTAATTTATAATACCTCAAAGTTGGTGTCTGTACCACAGCCACAAGTCCAGCAAGGCCCTACAACTCGGAGAACAGGCTGGCGATCAGCATCCAGAATGGAAAACTTAGGAAGGAAGGGATGCCAGGTCTGTAGCACATGGCCAATGGTGGTGCCAGGTGGAGCCTGGACTTCCATCTGGAAAGGGAAGCAGACAGGATTACTGTCAAGCCAGGTTACCTTGGCCAGCGCTCTTCACTGGTGCCAGCTGTCTTCTGACTGTTCAGACCCTCAGCTAAAACCGCGCCCCCTCCTATTAAAGCCACACCTCTTTCTGTGCTGCTTACCACACTGCCCACCAACTACCACAAAACAGGCCATGCCCACCTCCTGAAGACCACAGGGACAGCAGCTGCAGCCACAGTGAAGTGGGCGGAGGAGGCGGAGCACCTCGCGGTCCCCAGGGTCCGCTAGACGGACACGAAGTGGCCGGCGGGCACCACAGCACAGACGGGCACAACAGTTGCTCTCTTCAGCTGCCTGACCCAGTTGCTGTCCGGTCCCAGAGCGAAGTTCATACCTATTACAGGTCTCCCAGCCTAGGAACGCTGTGAAGGGTAACACGCTAAGGCCCAAGGGCCTCACCTGCCCAGAAGCTCACCACTGCCACAAACATCACGAAGCCCAACTTGATCCATCTCCTACTCACTTTCCACTCGTTCAGCCTTCTGGTGAATCAAGATCTGATCAATCTGTAGAGTTAAGACACCGTTGACCTTATCTGTCACTTCGATCATCAGTCAGTCCTTCTCCCAGCCATCCTCTCTCCCACTCACCTGCACTAGGAATTCGAGGCCAGAAGGCACCCCTGGCAAAGGCACAAAGGGAGCAGGAGGTCCTGGAGCCACCGGGCCTGGCGAGGGGAAGAGAGCGAAGCCGGGAGCAGGGGCAGGCACCTGGGTGGGCAATGGAACCTGTCCCGGTCCAGGATGCAGCGCCACAGGCTCTGGATATCCGGCTGGCACGGGGTAGGGAGGTGGGGGTGAAGGGGCATAGCCTTTGGGGGGCAAGTAGCCTGTAGGGGAGCAGGGGTAGATTAGAAAGTTATCTGTGGCCTCATCCTCTTCTTTCTCAGCCCAAGGACCAGGAGCACCCGCGGAAGAGGCAGAGAATGATGGGGCGGGGGGCAGGGCGGTGGCTCCCCAGGAGGAAGGGAGGGCCCCACGCAGCCAGTCTGAGCACATTCCTGGAGAATGTGTTCGACACCCGGCACCCAAGTTCGTGGTGGGGGGCGATAATGGAGACCCCAACCTAGCGTCAACGTACCTGCCATGGGAATGGGGAAGGGAGTCTTGGGCTGTTGGCGCAGGGGAAGATTAGTTCTGGAGTAGGGACAAGCTTGGGAACAGCCAGACAGATACAGAAACAAAGACGGACAGGCAGAGGTGAAGAGGCAGCTGCGCCCAGCACGTGCCCAGGGTCTCTTGGGCGGTACCTATGGGGGAGAAACCGAAAGTGTAAGCGGGCGGGGCGGGGTACCTAGGACCCTGAATAGCCTTAGGGGCCCCAGGACCGCCCCCTCCCTTTGTTCTCCCATTTTCTGCGGAGATGGCTGTTGGAAGATGGCAGGGCAGACGGACCTGAGGTCAGACAGATGACCAGACCCCGAGGAAAGTCTCCTTAACCCCTATGTGGTCCAGCTCACCTGAAGCCCCCAGAATAAGCCGGGGGGCCACGCACTCCGGGGCTCACAGGCGCTGGTGGAGGCGGGCCTAGATCTGACCCCACCCCCAGGTCGCCTAAGTCCCGCCTCCAGTCCGGGAGGGGCGACTGCGCAGAAAGCAGGCGCTTCTCCTCCCGCGGGGCCGCGGACCTTGGACCTTGTGCGCCTTGTTCGCCGTGGTTCCGCCCCTTCCGCTCCGACTGCAGAGGCGTGGAGACCTGGGTTGTTGGAGAGTGACTGCGGCCCTATCCCCAGTGACAAGACCCTCGCCTTTTCAGCGGGTGGCTGCTCTGCCTCCCCACCGCGTGGCCGCTCCGGACCCCGAGATCCTCCTCCCAAGGGCGGGTCGGGCCTCGCTGACGCAGCGGAACACCATTCACTCTCACTCACTGCCTTCCAGAGTTGGCTCCGCGTTCTTCTATCTCAGGGCGACCTCGCTGTGTTCTCTCCCTGTCACAGCGTTGACCCACTCAGTCAACTCTCAGTTCAGGCCCGCCCATTACACGCGTGACAGGCTTTCAAAAGGTATCAGTAAGGAATGTGCATGAGGTAAGGCTCAGGGGAAAACACTTGAACAGCACAAGCCCTCTATTCCCCTGCTTGGTGGCAGGAGGGTTGTCACAAGTATGAGGCCAGTCTGTTCTACATAATTCCAGACTAAGTCAGGGCTACAATAGGGAGACTCTCTCAAAAGACACCCTTCCTCAAAAGAAGAAAGCATAGTATCTGGGCAGGTGTAGTGGATCACAAGAGTTCCAGGTCAGCTTGGGAGTGACCTGGGTCTCTAGGAGAGCCATTAAAGAAAAAAAGCCAAAACCAGCCCTCCACTTATGCCTGGGTCTTACTTGCTATCAATTACACTTTAGTGCTTGGGATGCAGGCTAGGGACTCTGAGAATTCTAGTTTCTAGCCAAAATGGAGAACTACTGTATTAGAAGAACCTAGGAGACTGTAAGCAAGCAAAAGTAAGTTGGAGGTTCTTACAGAAATCTGGTCACAAGGTGATGGACTGCACCAGAGACCAGGACAGTGACGGTGGCGTTGATGTGATCTTTGGAAACATGATTTCATTATGCCTCAGAGATAGGATGTAAGAAGAGAATTGGAAGTTGAGTCATTCTTGGCCTCTGAGACCCTTCTGCACAGCACACACCCCTCCTCATGCAATCCCTGCCTTTGTAAGACTTTTGGGTCTAAATGTAGGATTTTCGCGTCTCGGTTTGAAAACAGTCCCACTGTCCCAGGACACGTCCCAGGAGGGGCACATTCCTTAGTCAGAGGACACTTGCTGGATTAACATTCCGAGGAAGGAGGAAGAAGAGGCTGATTAACAACGTTCCTCAGACCACAGGGGAGGGAACCCACCTGTGGGTTAGGAGGGTCCAGAGCGTAGATACATTCCAGGAATCAGGAAGCTGAGCCCTTAACGGAATAAACCTGGGCAAATGGAGAACACTCCTTGTCATAATCTGAGTCTAGGGACCGAATCTAGGGACCGAACCAGAAAAGGTCAGACTTTGTGGTTTGCCCTCGTGAACTATACTGTACCCATAAGTACTGTACTCAGCTCTTGTTCGACACTCTCTTACCTGCATGCGAGAGAGTCTTAGTGCACTAGTTTCATTAAACCAAACCTCATGTGATTGCAGCGAGTCCTGTCCGTGTGCATTTGTGTGGGAGCACGTCCCCTGGTTTTGGATCTTACAGTCCAACACCTTCATGTATCTTGTTCTCTCTGTTGACCTTTCACCTCAAAGATCCCATTCCTTTTTTTTTTTTTTTTTTTTGATTTTTCGAGACAGAGTTTCTCTGTGTAGCCCTGGCTGTCCTGGAACTCACTCGGTAGACCAGGCTGGCCTCAAACTCAGAAATCCGCCTGCCTCTGCCTCCCAAGTGCTGGGATTAAAGGCATGCACCACCACCACCCGGCAAAGTCTGCATTTTTAAAATAGATTTATTTATTTATTTTATGTATGTGAGTACACTGTGTTGCTCTCTTCAGACACACCAGAATAGGGCATCAGATCCCATTACAGATGGTTGTGAGCCACCATGTGGTTGCTGAGAATTGAACTCAGGACCTCTGGAAGAGCAGTCAGTGTTCTTAACTGCTGAACCATCTCTCCAGCCCTGAAGTCTGCATTCTTAATTTTATTATGTATGTAGATGTCATACCTGCATGTATGTTTCCATAATAGGTGCATGCAATGCTCAGAAGAAGGTGTCATATCCCCTAGAACTGGACTTTCAGAGAGCTAGGAGCTGCCATGTGGGTTCTAGAAATCGAACCAGGTCCTCTGGAAGAGCAGCCAGTCCTTTGATCCACTGGACCATCTCTCCTGCTCCTGGAATCTGAATATCTTGGTTTTAGGAGAATTTAACTCCCTGTCTCAAAAAACCAAAAAATAAAATAAAATAAAATTGAACTCTAGGAGGTGATAGAGAAGAATGTTCTAGTAGTCTTTAAGACAAGTCTCACTGTGTGGCTCTGGCTGTCCTGGAATTCACTATGTAGCCTAGGTTAGCCTCCAACTCACAGAGAAATACCTGCCTCTACCTCTGGTGTGCTGAGATTAAAAGCTAAGACCACTATGCCTTGCTATGTTGTTCATTCCGCTAATAACAAACTTTTTTTTTTTTAAAGATTTATTTACTTTATTTATGAGTACACTGTAGCTGTCTTCAGACACACCAGAAGAGGGCATCAAATCTCACTACGGATGGTTGTGAGCCACCATGTGGTTGCTGGGATTTGAACTCAAGACCTCTGGAAGAGCAGTCAGTGCTCTTAACCGCTGAGCCATCTCTCTAGCCCCCGCTAATAACAAACTTAACTACAGCCTGGCATAATGGTTCATGCCTTTTATCCCAACACTTAGGAGGCAGAGACAAGGCTGGCTTGGTCTATTTAGTGAGTTCTAGTCAGCCAGGCTACACACTGATAGCTGGTGTTTGAAAAAAAAAAAGCCAGGTATGGAGGTGCACACCTATAATTTCTGTGCTTGGGAGGCAGAGGCAGGCAAATCTCTGAGTTCAAAGCCAGCCTGATCTGCAGATGGTCTTATAGGACAGCCAAGGCTACACAGAGAAACCCTGTCTAGAAAAACAAAGGGCTAGAGAGATGGTTCTTCCAGAGGTCCTGAGTTCCCAGCCACCACATGATGGCTCTCAAACATCTGTGATGGGATCCATGCCCTCTTCTGGTGTGTCTGAAGACAGCTACAATGTATTCATATAAATAAGTTTTAACAAACATTTAACAAAAGAAAACAAAGAAAAGAAAAAGAAACCTGCCCCTGACACAATGTTGAAGAACTGACTCAAGTGGTGGATTCTTCTTATCAATACTATCTTCACAGCTCCCCCTACCTCTGTGTCTGTGTGTGTGTGTGTGTGTGTGTGTGTGTGTGTGTGTGTGTGTGTGTGT